TCCCTCCTAAGTAATACTTTCTTGAACAGTATTACTACTATTGTAAAATACTTACTTTATAATTGATTAGATTAGGATTTAATTTTGGGTAGGATTTGTGTCCTTCCCTCCTTCTTTTTTCCTTTGTCTTATATGTTCTATACTAGTATCTTTTCCTTTAGATACTTTTCCTTTTATAGTCTACCTCTTTTGTATTCTATATTTAAAGTGAATATAAATGCCTTTTCCTTTCATTTTAGCTTTTACAGCTTACTTTCATGATTGAAAAGTAAGAGCCACACTTGTGAGTATAGTTTTCCTTTTAACAGTTGTAACTAGTTAACTTATTAAAAGGGCTTCTACCTTTATCTTAGTTACTATAATTCTGCTTTTAGTGTCAGTCTGTAATATAGACTAATGTGTCCTCTACCTTCTAGTTCTTTACTAGCTAGTTCTAGTTTGACTAGTATTCAGACTCTCTGACTAAAATAGTACACTCTAAAGACTAAATTTAACTGGTAGGAAGTTATTCCCTCTTGTTTATAGTTTCTAGTTTAGTTACCCCCTTTAGTTTTGCTTCTGTTTAGAAGGTGTGTGTGGAGCAATTATTATATGTTATTATGAATGTAGAGGAGACATATAATATACTAATACCCTTTTAATCCTTATATTAGGAGTAATTTTCTGATTTACTCAAATTATGTTATTATAACAATCTAGTACTTCAGACTTGTTATAAGAATAGTTTAATGTTATATTCAGAACATTACTCACTCAGTTAAGAGCTACTATACTATAACAATCTAGTACTTTCAGATCTATTATAGGAACAGTTTAGAGTCCTATTCAGAACTTTAATACTATAATAATCTCTTTTCCCTTAGATTTATTATAGGAACAGTTTAATGTCTTATTCAGAACCCTATACTATTATACTTTTACTCTATCTAGAGTCTGTTATCTCCTCCTAGAGGAGTTATTCCCTTTTTAATAGTTTCCCTTAAGAAGATCTTATCTTTCTCACTTTTTACTTTCAAAAAGTAAGTACTCATAATTATTTCCTATGTCCTCCTTACTTATGATTTGTTAACAGTTTCTACTTCTTTATACTTCTTTATGTACTTCTGTCTTGTTTCTTTAATAAGAGCTCTTAGTATTCTGTCTGAATTCAGAATATTGTTTATATCTTCTTATATAAATTGTAGTTGTATCTGTTATTGTCTTACAAGTTGTTATATAATAGAATTTCCTAGTATAGTACTGTGTTCCTTTATTAGATTGTACTCTGGATTAGGAAATCCCTAATTGCCTTATGTAGAGTTACTGTACTTAGAATGTCTTAGACTATCAGACTTTACTAGGTAGTATATAAGGCAGACACTTGCTTAATGTCTTAATAAGAGAGAGTACTTAGAGCACTCCTACTATACTTGTTAAAAGGTTATAAGCCTTAGTGCCTATTGAATACCCTTACACACTTGCTCTTACAGAATGCCTTTGCCTCCTACTAGACCACCAAGCCCTAGACCTCCCTCTCCCCCCAAACCTATTATAATGTTGTCTACAACACATACCTTTGTTAATACTATAATGAAGGACTCTAACATTACAAAGTTCTTTGAGGGAACAGAAAAGTTGGCTAGTACAAAGGAATACAAGATATAGTGCTTGTACATACACAGTACACTCACTACTATAATGCTCTCAGACCATCTAGAGCCCAATCCCCCTTCCTCTAATAATGCTAGCATATGTACAGACAATGTCTTGTATTATTGTATAATGAAAACAATAACTGATACAATTTATGTGAACTTCACAATACATACAAGTGTTAGAAGTCTCATGAAGGTGCTTTCTGAACAATACAATGTTCAAACAATAATAACACATACTATAAACATATCTACATTGTTTACAGTAAAAGAGCATGTATCATAGTTTGATAAGATGTTAGACAACATTAAACAAATCTACAGGCAGTTGTCTACACATAATAAAGCCCCTAATAACAATACATACATCTTAGCAATTAACCTTACTACTCCTTGTGAGTATAGATGGGTAGTAACAATGCTAGACAGGCAGATTACCTATTATAATCAACTACTAACAGTTACAGTAGCTCAGAAAGATGTTCTAACACTAGCTAAGTTGATACATGAATTACAAAACACATATACTGAGTATCATTCTCAGTACTCTCAAACAAAACAAGATACTGAACAAGACAGCCTACAAACAAAAGGCAAAAGTGTAGCTAAAGGCAAAACAAAGCCTTATAATAAAGTTAAATGCTACAACTGTAATAAGTACAGGCATATGTCAAAAGACTGCCAAAATCCTCTAACAAGCAAAACAATAGAATCTTGAAAGAAAAAGTATAAGTAAACAGTTCCTGCTTCTACTACTACTATTATACTGTCTCAACCTGTACTTAATACAGCAGTATTCATTAGAGACAATAACAAAACAGTATTCATTAAAGACATTAATGAAACACTAATGCTAGAGTCTACAATTGTAGAAGCCTTAGTATCAAGTTCCAGCAGCTTACCTGTTCAATCTGCTCTATCTACTGAATCTGACATATTTTCAGCATTCAAAGTACAAGAGGATGGTGTTATGCAAGTAGACAACTTTATGAACTCATTTGACAATACAAAAGAAGTCATTAAGGAGTTCAATTACAATCCAAACATATGTATTAATACAATACATTGTAATAATACTGAACTAATACATTGTATTAATATATTGGACTCTAGTGCAAATGTACACACTACTCTATACTTGTTCCATCTTATAAACATTCAGAACTTGACCCTAATAAACATTACAATTGCAAATAAATTGTCATTCACACTTAGTAAAAGTAGAGTAATGACATTTAACATAAAACTATGAGACAAAGCTAATAAGCATACTAAGGTGAATATGATTTTACTACAAAACATATACAGTGAAACCTGTCAATAAGCATACTTGTAGTTTAGCATTTCCTCTCAATAAGTATGAAAAATTTGATCCACCAAGTTGGTAGGCAGGAAAATAGAGGTATATTAAGTATAAAGGGTATTAAGTATTAAGTATTAAGGTGTGAGATCAAGAATATGCTTAATTAAAGGAAATTTTGGGTCATGTGACAGTGCAGATCATGACCTAGAGAGAGCCACTTTTTGTACAGGCCACCTCCATTTTGTAAAATAAATGTGTAATGTAATGAAAACCACTATTAAAACTTATTGTTCATCATGTCTGAGGAGCTCAGATGTGTACAGAACCCAGATGGAACACTCAAGGATGCTAGTGAAATTGTTTTCCCTTATTCTAGAGAAGCTTCCCCTGTCAATCTCTTAGCTCTGCTTCTAGATATCCATGCTTCTACTAGTATTCATTCACAAACAAGTAAAGTCAATAATACATCTCTACTAAAGGATCCTGCCCATAGTAAAGCACCAAAGTTGAAGCATCAAAAGCTATACAGAGACTGTCCAATTACTTTCAAAGCTCAATGTGCTCTTTCAGAGTAAGATTGGTGCTGAGTTTACTAAGGCTAGAGCACTTTTTCCAAAGCTTACAAGAAACCTATACAAGAAAATAAATAGTTCTCTTGAACAGACTGATATTGTAACGATTGCACTCTTGTGCTGAGCGCGCGCAAGCGCGCTCCTTGCTATGAAGGTGTTGTGGGTGCTTGTAGGTGCTTTTTTCGTTATTAGTTAGCCTACTTGTATCCACTACACGTGTAACTGCATATATAAAGAGTCTTTGGGCTAAGGGTTAGGGGATTCTTTTCCCCTTCTCGACGCTCGATTACTGATTACCCCAGTCAGTGTATTGAGTGCGCTGGTAAAGAAGAGAATCTTCCTCATGTAAGGCTATTCTACATATCCTTACATATTTTTGACTGTATAAATCAATCCCCATCGATCCTGCTGGGTCGTGAGTGTTGTCTAGGGTCTGATCAACCCTTGGCATTGTCTCATTGCCTGGCGCGAAGAGCAAGTGAGTTTTGAAAGAGATTTGTAGAGAGAGACAGCGACTACTTACTGGTTGGCCCCCAGTGAGCGAAAATGATCTGGAGCATAGCAAAACGCTTCCTGATCGCAACAAAAACCCCTATTGATACGGTTCAATGTCCTAGACATCACGAGGACCTTCCCAAGGACGACGTTGAAGACACTGAGCACACATATCCAGGTTTAGAGAACATAGTGAGTAGTGCTAACACAAATGCTGGACATTTAAACTACCTAGGCACTACTTCCTACCTCAAGACAGTGATTTCGATGCTGAAAGGTGACCTCATTGTTCCAGTAAGCTCATATTCGTCTAACAAAGTCCTTACCATTGTCCCAAAGCACAAGTCCTTGTCCCTTATGGGCTTAAGGCAAAACCAATCACAATCCAGTGATAAGTCCATGTCTATTACAGGCCAGTGGCACGCTAATGATCTACCAGGACGTAAGACATTGTCTCTTAGAGGCTGGATGCAACCTGAAGACCAATTACTACTGAAATACCATAGTTAACATTTGCATAGCAGTAC